AAAAAAAAATCCAACTTTTATGGAAAATTTTACACATCAAACAAGGGCCTAATAGCAATTAGCATGCCTTGAAATGACATATTTGCTCTCAATACAAACAAAAATAAAAGTTCTAGCGTCTATTAGGCCTTGTTTGATTTGACAATTTTTCCATGGATCTTAGAAATAAAATTCCATCTTCCCCTAAAAGTCACATTTGATTGAGAAATTTTTCTTGGCAATTCATTTTCCATCTTTTGTCTCACACGGTTCAAATTCCATGGTTTTGAGGAAAATTAATTCCCACCAATTTGGTGAGATTTGATTTTTCAGGCTATTTATTTTTTATTTTTTGACAATTGAAGCAAATTATATCCCAAATTGTAACAAATTATATTAATTTAATGGAAAATTTTCATATAAAATAAAGTCAAAAGAATGCAAATAGATCCAAAATTTCAATATTTTTCACGTGGAAAATTATACTAATCAAATACAATTAATTGACAATTCTCAAAAAAACAATTCTAAACAATTCAATTCCCTATAATTTATTTTCTTTTCACCCAAATCTCACTCTTGCAATCAAACGGACCCTTAGTGTCAAGTGGAATATTGAGTTCGCCATTTTAAAATACCGAAAATAGAAATAAAAAATTGCCGGTTTTATCTAACGAGCTTTGAATAGCTTTACGATTACAGTTGAATATTTTCAATTTAAGTGCTTGTTCGGATAAAGTTATAAATTGCATCAATTAAAATTATAACGTGATAAAAATAAGTGGTGAATAAATGTGTAATAGTTTCGGATCTTAAAAAATGTTTGCTTTAAATCAATATTTGATTTTGACCATTAAATTATAAAGTATTCATAATATTTTCCCCTATAGGAACTACGAGATCACCTCAATGGCGTCTTTGACATTCACGGGTCATGGACCGATTTATTTTCCCTATGCTCCAACGTTAGAAAATAAATGCAAAGAAACAAAATATCCATAGGAAACAAACATGCACTAAGACACGTGTATTTTGCATGTAAATCTAAAATTTGTCCCCTGCTTTTTAACCACGCATTATTCCAAGATTCATTTTCCTCAAATAAGTCTTAAAACTCTTTTTAATGGTGGTCTAATGGAGACTTAATTTAATTATTCTAAGGACAATTACATTAGCACTAATCCTCTGTTTTGTGGGATTGAAATCAAACTTTAGTAAATTTTGATAAAAGTGATATAATGTGTGATTGAAAAGTTGTAGATCCCATAATATATGTGGTTAAAATTAGTTGTTTAATTTGATTTAGATTAAAATATGAATTTTATTTTATATCAAACGGGACTTGAGAATTTTGTTAGGTGAACCGCAATTTTAAATATTTTTATTTAATTAAATAGCCTGAAATAAACTTACGTGAATATAATTTTAATATATTTTTTTGCACATAATAATCTATTGTTACACCACAAACATAAGTTTTTTTTTCCTCAACAGTGGACGATGCACAGCTTTTTAGTCCACTACTATTTTTGTGTTCCTCTATGACTATAGATGCCACGTCCATAGCCGCAATCTCAACCTCAACCTCAGGCACCGAGTCCTACTTTGTGAAACTTGCTCCCCAACAAAATAGCCGTGTTCAGATATTATAGTCCAACAACATTTTAATCGAAGGTTTAGTGTACTGTGGTGGGCTCTGGGACGGGTTTGGATATCCAACATATGCTAGAATTTTATGTGGTGTACGAATAATTCGATAGAATTCTTATGGTATTTAATTTTTAATTGGGCTATGTTATATATATTAGTCAAATTGAGGTGACCTCTTTATTAAAAATATGTTTTAATTGACGTGAATCTAAAATGTAATGGAACAAAAATAAATTGTGGTGTCAATAAAACCACCTTCAATCTAATTGTTAATATTTGGAAAAATATAAATTTACTATCTTATTCCTTTATAATTATCGAGATTGGTCAAGATCTACTTTTTTTGGTCAATTAGTGGTCAAATGGACGAAATCTGTCAATCGATCATTTTACTATAATGAAATGAAAGATTTGAGAATGTAGTTGACATAAATGAAAATTTTGGGTATAACTTGCAAAAATGAAAGATTTAGGACCGTAGTTACAATTATTCCTAAAAATTAAGAATAAATATGTGATTAAAGTTAATTATTGATATAATTTTAATTTTTTATTACTTTTTTAAGCCTTCAAGGTAGGTATAAGTTACCTAAAAATAATCAAACTGTTAATAGTTATAAGTTACTTTCGGCCTTGCACAACGCGCTCACAATATAAAAGCCACCCGCGGTTGCCCCCCGGGGCACATCCAAGTTGGCAAAGGATGGGCACTGCTGGGCTTGCAACCTCAGGGTGGGGAGTTCGCTTCCTGGATGGAGCAGCTGAGTGTTGTAATACTCAATTTGGGTGGAGCAGCTTAGTGATATAATATCCATGGAGGAAGGCTCCCTTGGGGTCAGGAGTATAAAGGGTGCACAGATCCTGGTCAATTTGGGCATATCCCACGATTAACCTCCACCCATCACCGAGGGGCCGAGGATGGGTGGTCCAGGATATAGTCTAGTGTAAGTTAGGATACCTGGATATAAAAAAAAAAAAAGCCACCCGCAGTTTACCTCCTCGAGTCGTTGAGGGCCGGTGGCTAGAGATCCAGGATTTAATCTGGCTAAGTTGAGATACGTGGTTACCAAAAAAAAAAAAAAAAATTGCCATTGCCCACATTTTTGCCGGTATCGATTAGAACCAAGAAACCCTATCACCCGATTCTGACCGTGAACCCCCGCAAATCTTTCTGTCCTGTCAAATGATAAATAATGGAAATCCCTCTCTGCATCACTCCACTTGTACTATTTGGATTTCTCCGTATATGCAGACAGATTTCAGTTGTAATTAGGATTTTCTTATTTTTCATTTTTGTAACACTCAGTTCACGTGAATTTCACTGTTAATAAAGGAATATCTTCTTTGTTTCCTTTTGAATCTGATGCGGTGTATGTGATAACACAGCGTTATTTATGAGTACTTGGATGTAGTGTCACTATTTTTGTGATTTGTAATGAAAATGGAAAGTTCATGGAGACCGTTTGGCGGATCTCTGTCGAGAGAACGGGGATTAAAGAAACCCAGGCTCACTGAGGAATCTGCTGCATCTGATCTTGGCGCCAATGGCCGGAGAAACAGCATTTCCGGGGGTGCCGGGTTTCTTCAACGACCGATTGGTGGCGGCTTAGGATTCCAGGATGACCGGGACTCTGAGAGCAGTGATTACATGCACGCGCGCTACCAAAACCAGCAACAACAGCAGCATCAGGAACTTGTGACCCGATACAAGACTGGTTTAGCTGAGCTGACTTTTAATTCGAAACCAATAATTACAAATTTGACCGTCATTGCTGGGGAGAATGTGCATGCTGCCAAGACAATTGCAGCCATTGTTTGCGCAAATATTCTCAAGGTGAGGTGATTGTAGTTTTTCACTTGCAACTAGTATTTATTATGTTACTGTAACTGTATTGTAAAATTACAGACATAAAGATATGGTAAAGACCTGAAATTGTAAATACTGTGCGATTACTAACTTATGTTGTACACCAAAAAAATTGGTGCTTTGTTGAAGATGTGGTATATTTGTGTATACGAAATGCAATTTTTCAGCAACCTGTGGTTTTGCAATGAAATTCATCTTGAAAGCTGTGGATTCTACAAAGGTTTGCCTGGAACTAATCTACCAAAAGACATGGGATGATGACAACCCATGACTTGATCAATAATTAATTAATCATTTCCATTGGCCATGTTAAAGCTGTGGCAAGTTAGGAATATGATTCTAGCCAAAGTTTTAATCTCCAACTTCGCATATTTCTGCTCCCGTGGTACCATTTTTTTTTTCTATTTCTCACCTGCAATATTGTTGTGGGGGCTAAAATGTTGCCTTTTTTGTACATTTGAAATTGCTGGTAAAGATTCATGGTGATTTTGCTGTCACACGTTTATCATGGTATTTATGCTCTATGGAAAAATGAATTTGGAGGCGATATAGTAGTCTATAGGCTGATGGAATCACACGTGGCCCTGCCACTTTATTTTTAGACATCATTTTCCTAACTGTGTGATCTGTTAAGAATCTGCGAAGATAATCATACTTTATGCGATGTATGACAAACACCATTAGTGTTTTGCATAATTGAATATCCCAATTAATGCTTAGGTGGAAGTATTAATGCAAATGTCTGGTAGTGTTGAGACGCGTGTTTGGTTCTGACGAAATACTGAATTCCTTTGTGTTTTATCAGAGAAAAGTTATTCAAACATCTTAATTTCGAGTTTGTTGGATCTGGAACCCGCAACTCTGTTATTATCTAGAGTAGTGCCAAATCTTCTTTGAGACTTGGGTAATTGTGCACATGCTTCCAATTTTGTTCTAGAATAGGAAGTGGCTGTAAAAGCCCTGCCACCTTACCTGTTGCAATATACAGTCTTCCGTCCTTTCTGCCGCACTTTCAGCTATTGTTCTTGAGATATGGTCTGGTCTGGCTCATTATTTCATTCTTCTTCTCTTTTTTTGAAGATGGCACTGAAACTTGTGTGGTAAAAAACAATAATTCGTTCTGGTCTCAAGAAGCGGCATTGACCCCTGTAGAAGTGGTAGTTAATGGCTTTTGATGTTAGATAAGATTGGAGTGGCAAATGTGTCAAAAGAGGATGAACAATATAGAGAATTTCTGTAAAATTCGTCGTTCACATTGCTTTGTTTATTGTGTATATATATTGTACAAATATGGATATACAAGGCAAGTAAATAAACCTAATTCTAGAAATCGGCTTTCCCAAATATAAATACAACTATATAAGGTAAAAAAATGGGCGTGTGTATGGATTTTAATGTGTTTATATACTAAATATCGGGTTATAGATAGAACCATTTTTAGGTAAAAGGTTATGTACTGCTTGGTAATTTGATTTAATTGCTTGAAGGGGATGTCATGAGTGGTGAATATCTAGTATTAATTATTTTGCACAACATTGTCAATTTGTTAAATCTTTTACTATGCTTTTCTTCATTCTTTTATATATAGCATATTATGAGCATGTTTGGCTAAGCTTATAAGGTGGTTGAATTTAGCCAAGCATGCTAAATATATTTTTAATTAGTATGCCATATTATGAAATATCTGCTTATGCATAATGTCTGATTCTGGAAAAATATTTACAGGTTCCGAGTGAGCAAAAGCTGCCATCTCTATATCTATTAGATAGTATCGTGAAGAATATAGGGAAGGATTATATTAAACACTTTGCTTGCAGATTGCCTGAGGTCAGGCCTCCTTTACCTTTAGATATACTTTAGGCATTATGTTATTATGACTTTGTCTATTTTGTTGATCCTTCCTGAAGAAATTAAGATAAAATTTGGCTTTGAATCTGCTTTTTCATTTTCTGTAGCCATTGGAAGTTATTCCTTCATACTTCTTCTATTCCTTTGATTGTCTCTTTCTGTTGAATTTTTAGGTCTTCTGCAAGGCATATAGACAGGTTGAATCTTCAGTACATCCTGGTATGCGGCATCTTTTTGGAACCTGGAAGGGGGTCTTCCCCCCTCAGCCACTCCAGATGATTGGGAAAGAACTCGGAATAGCCACCACTGTTAGTGGACCATCTTCAGGAACGTCCAGGCTTACTTTACAGGCACAACGCCCTGGACCGAGCATTCATGTAAATCCCAAGTACTTAGAAGAAAGACATCGTCTCCAGCAGTCCTCGGTGGTGAGGAACTTCTGTCATCTTTATCGTTATCATTATTATAGCTATGATTACAACACTGGTTAGTGTGAGTTCTTATGTCTTTCACCACTTTAGGAAAAGATTATGGCGGTATCTTTCTATCCTCTGAGTTCCTACTTGCTTATATATTGAGTTCAACTTTCTGCAACGTTCCTGAGGATCGTATGATATCTTACTTTTCGATGTCAATACCTAATCCTCCGCAATTAAGTGACATATTTGGTTTTGGGACTCTGCGAGTTTAGTATTTTATTTTTGGGTTTAAATACCAAAGAGATTAATGATTGTATAATAATGAATTAAGAATGGCGGATATAGTTCTTGTGGGATACATTAAGACCTTGGGGTATGTTTGGAATTTTTATAGAACTCAAACACAAAAGTATACTGAGAAGCCGGGGTGAGTTTCCCCGATGATGTCGTTTTCAAGCAAATTACAGGTTTTCCTGGTGTTATGGAAAGACAGTATTATTCTGGATAACCTTTTCGTAATCGTGCAGGTCATTTTCGTTTTGTTTTAACAATATATAGTAATGATAACTTTGTCATTAATCATGCAGGCCATTTACTTTCTGTTTTGACAACGTATATTAATTAGAAAATTTGTTGAATTTGTAAAAGCTGTTTGATTTCACCTGTCGTACTCTAAATGCAAGTTGTTCACTGTTTCCTTATTCGTTGAGAATATGTTATCACACAGTATTTTCTTGAAATGTTTACAAGCAGGCCCTTGTCTTGCTTATTCCTTGGCTGACTAGTGTACTTGAAAATATAAATATCATGTTAGCTTGAAGTATTATGTGTTTGTGAATATGTTCTGCTAAAATCTATTCTTGCGTTCGAGTCTCCTCAGGGCCATTGAGGTGAGTACCCGACCATAAACTTCAGGGTTTCGTGGGATTAGTCAAGGTGCGCACAAGCTTGCCCAGACACCCACGGTTATCAAAAAAAAAAAAAAAAAATCTATTCTTGCAAAAGTAATTTAGGTCCTGAATTCTGCATATTGCTGAATGTAGATAAGCACAGGCTTTAAATGAAATGCATTAGTATAAACAGTTGTCTTTTCTCCGTTTGTATGGTTAAGATACCAGAAATCTATCTTTGATCTTCCATTGCTTTATAGATATCATTATTACTCTCTTAATCGTGAAAACAATTCATAATGTCTCTTCTAAGGAAATAATCTCACATGTATGTTTTGTGTTCTATGTGTTGATGTAACATGATGAAGGCAAGGGGGGTGGACACTGATGTCGATGAAACCATGGTAAACTTATCCGAGGATGTTGAAAGACTGGAAAATCCAACCAGTGTTTGTTCAGGAAGACCATCGGCTGATCTGTACGCTAAGGTGCATTTAAAAAATATGACCTTTGAGATTTTCTGTGCTACACTTATCACTATCTATGTTTGTAATTACTCTAAACTTGCAGAATGTTCATCATCCTGACAAAAATTCAAGTGTAACATCTGGAGAATCTGAATATAGTTCTGATATATCACGAGTTTCTGGAATAGGATTGGGAATAGCTACTGAAAAACATAAAGAACAAGGATTTGAAAAGCGCTGGTATGAAATTAGTAGCGATGTAACAGAAAAAATATCCAATCAAAAGAATAGTCTTGACACGAGGCATGGTTTTCATAGTTATCCTGCCCATAAATCTGCAAACTCTGGCTCACAGATGCAGCTAAAGCATTACTTTGCCAATAGAAGCAGCACTGGGGTGAATACAAGTGGGAAGAAATCTGAGGAACAGGAGTATGTGTGGGATGATACGAACTCAAGAGCCACCGACTTTGGTTCGGATGATATCTCAGCAAAAGATCACTGGATGCCTGATGATTCTGAAAGATTGGTAAGTTCTATGGGGGGCCAGTGAATAGCTAATACAGTAACATATGATACTCTTGCCACCGATCTGGTGTTTTGTGGGAAAATCTCTATTTGGAATGCTAGTAGAACATCAAGAGGATTTTTTTTAACTGTATTTTTATTTACAAGTTTGATGTCCGTTTTGGTCCCAATTATCTTCTGATTATTTTATATTTTGTCAAACATGATAGTCCAAATGGCTTACCAATTGGGATTATAACTATAATTACCTTCTCAGGAAAGGTTATTGCTTTGTTGTTCATTGATTGGGTTCTCCTAATTTATTCAGGGATTATTGCATTGTAATAGGCACTTATTTTGTCCATATTTCGCTAGTATACAGCTGATTGATCCTTTTGTTTTGCACGTGGTTTGTGCAGGATTCAAAGAGCCATCTCCAAAGACCACGAAGTATGCATGATACTGGGGCAAGGCTTGATGATGAAGCTTCATCTGATTCTCTATCTACAGAACAGAGTCTGGCTGTTCCTGGGACTCGAATGCCGTCATTGTGGTCACATGAGCCACATGCACCCGAAAAGACGACGCCTTCACGTCCGAGTAGAAATATGTCTGGTCATTCTGAGGGATATCCAACCCCCTTGAGTGGGTTCTCAACTTCTGCAAACTCAATGGGCAAGGCATCTTTTCAGTCACAGATGCGGCCAGTTCATCTTGGAGCTCTAAGCTTTAAGTTTTCAAGCAATCCTATGTCGGATGTCCCGATATCTATATCACAGCGGCAGATCTTGGGAGCTGTGTCACCCTTGGCACAATCACCCATGCACCAGCATCCCTCATCACCTTCCATCTCGGCAAACAATCCCAATCAACTACTTCACAATCTTGCAGAGCATGATCTACAACCTACTGTTAATCACGCAAATTCTGGAAGATCAGATTTTTTGGGAAAATTATATTTAGGGCCCCACAATCAGGTTTCTGAGGATTCTCTGCACAGGTCATCTCGAGATGTTAACTCACAGAGATTGCATCCCCCAAGTTTAAAGACTTCGTCTCCTGTGATTCCTCCACTTCGACAAAGGCACCACGTTTCATCCCCACACCATTTAAAGCCAGAATTCACAGAGTATGAATCTTCTAGTGAAAGTCGGAAGTCATCACTGCCTCAAATTTCAGGTTTGGAGAATCACTCAATTATGGGAAATTTCTTATCTGACCCATCAAATCCTCTTACAGTGGACTTCCCTGGACAATCAAGTACCAGCAGTTTGTTGGCTTCTGTACTGAAAAGTAGAATACTTGATAGTAGTTCTATCATGGAAAGCTTATCTAACCCCAGTTCTCAGGATGTTGATTTCATGCCTGCACAGTTAGGTGTTCAACCTCCTTTACCAAGTGGTCCTCCTACCCACTTAATGTCCTCTCCACCATTGCATGGAAGCACATCGGTTCTAACCTTCCCTTGTGAAAAGGTAGAATTGCCTCCCTTGTCCCCTGGACAGCCTCCGTTGCCTTTAGCAGGTAGTAGCTCAGGACAAATATCCCGTGCAATGAGTGAGGCCTCTAATCCAGTATCTCGTCTTTTGAGCTCATTGGTTGCAAAGGACTTGATTTCTGCATTGAAGACAGAGTTGTCAACTTCTATGCCACTCGAGGTAGCTGCTCACCCACAGGATCGAGGTGTTGGAATTGCTAGTATTAGTTATGTTTCTTCTCCAGTTGTCACACTGGAACAGCTTTCATCTACAGCAGATGAGCTGTCATCGACGAAATCAGCTGCTAAGTCCTCTGATAGCTTATCTCGGTCCACTGCATCAAAGATAAAAAATCTCATTGGTTTTGAGTTCAGGCCAGATGTAGTTCGAAAGTTACATCCAGCTGTCATTAGCGAACTTCTTGCTGATCTGCCACATCGCTGCAGCATATGTGGCCTCAGACTTAATCTTCAAGAACAATTTGATAGACACTTGGAATGGCATGCATCAAGGATTCCAGTGCAGAACCCTTCGAAGAAGACTTCAAGGAGATGGTACACCAATTCATTTGATTGGGTTGCTGGAACTGGTGGCTTCCAACCAAGCGATAGCACCTCAGGCCTGTTGGGAGGTTCAAGTATAACACTGGATAGTAGTGAGCAGATGGTCCCTGCAGATGAAAGTCAATGTGCATGTATTCTGTGTGGTGATTTTTTTGAAGACTTTTACTGTCAAGAAATGGATGAATGGATGTTCAGAGGAGCTGTTTATGTGACTATCCCATCTTCAGAGGCGAGGGGTACTAGTACTACAAGTGACAGTGCTGATCCAAGTTCTATAGTACATGCTAGATGTGTAACTGACGATTTTGTTTGTGATTTCAGAATGGGCAGAGATGTAAAAGTGGTCAGTATTTCTCGTTCTTAAGTATAGGCATCTTTTTTAATGCTTTCGGAAATACACCAGCAACTTTATTTTAGCATCTAGTACAATATGGCCATAATGCTTCAGAGGGTTGAATAGATAGATAAAACTAGTTTTATCTGGCTCGACCTGCTTTGATAAGAGCGACTTTTGGAATTTTTACATTTTTTATTTTTATTTCGTCAATGAATCTGAGATTAGGCACTCTACATCCTTATTAAAACCTATATTCCGATTGCTTCAATATTTTTAGTTCATTCATGCAGCAGGAGTAGATGCCATCTTGTTATTTTAGTTAGTGAAAGTACTTGTGCATGTTAATTTGGCGGACAACCTGGGGTTGATATTCTTATCCTATAAATTTTTGTCTCTGCTCATGGATTTTTTTCACACTGAATATACAGGATTTTGTAAAAACAGATGGAAATGCTTGATTAGAATTTTTCAGTACCTTCGACCAAAAAATTTCTTCAATTGATATTATTTATTGCTCAAAAGAAACTGTTGAGACTTTCAATACGACAACATCTTCTTATTATTCAAAATAAAATTTAATTTTTTTTTGTCCTATGGTGAAAAAGAAGAGTCATTTATTTGAGCCAACAAATTTGTTGTGCGTATATTGGTCATTTGTGTGCATCCGGCTATATGTATGTGTATGGATTGGAAAATAATCATTGTTTTAGAAGTTTCTGAGGCTTATGCCTTCCTCGAGCGCCTCGAAGCTTACACTTTGAGTGCCATTTGTCAAGAGTTACAACTTGTATTACTGAGGTCAGTGAGGTGCATCCATCAAGGCGTAACTATAATTTTGCAATTCTGAAAATTTTAGAACTATTTTATAGGTAAGCTTACGCCTTAGAATCATTTGTACTTGTTTACTAATTGGGCTAGTTTTAATAATTTTATTCGTGTTTAAAATATAATGCTTTAAAATAAAGTTTGCTGAAATTATGCATTGAATTTCTGGTGCGTGCTTGGAGCGCAACAATTTTCGACTTTAATCAACTATAGAAGTTGTTTATGTCAAAAATAATTTATGCTTAGCCAAATATCCAGTTCTTGTCTCTCCGGGATTTAAGAATTGGCAAATAGTTTCCAGTTGCACAATTGAGGAATTTTCAGAATGCTATTTCCACAACCTGTCAAGTAAAAAATAATTTTGCTTCTTAATTTTTTACTGTGTGATTA